CCCTGGTAAAATTCGCATTCCAGGGGCTAAATATCACGTTAATGGGGTCGTTTTTCAACCCGCGGACACGAAAAACAACCCGCAGCAACAGTGTTAAAGCAGCCCAATGCCGTGGGAAAACCGCGGACTTGGCAACACCGGAAGAGGAAAGCTTTCGGATAGCGCATCAAGAACCGGGTTGACCGGGTACTCGGTACCACCGGTACTTAAGAAAACCTGGTACCGTAACGTTTTAATTTTTTTAGTACCGACTTGGTACCGAAATACCGGGTCTTTTAATGACATTGGATTATAATGCATTTACACCTCACAGACTGATTAGTGTTCTTAAAGGGATAGTTCACCCAAAAATCATCGTTCTTTTGCAGTGTTATTTTAGCATCATTGATATATTATAGTTTTTGTTAATATTTTGAAGTAGATTTTATTTTATTTTATTTTTCTATTTTTATTTTAATTTTAGTTGGTTTTAGTAATTTTGTTGCATGTTTTTGTCATTTTTATTAGTTTTAGTTTCTTTGATTTGTTTATATCATTTTTAGTTAACATTTTAGTAATTTTTGTTGTGTTTTTGTCCTTTTTTAAAAATAATTTTCATTCGGTTTTCATTTAAATTTATTTAAATTTCTTCATTTAGTTTTTTTTTCAGTATGTCTAAATTATTTTTATTAAGTTTTCATTTTTGTTTTAAAGTTTTAATAATTTTGTTGTGTGTTTGTCATTTTTATTAGTTTTAGTTTTTTTTAAAATATGTACATATTGTTTTTTGTTAAGATTTAGTTCATTAAATTTTATTTACTAGATTATTAGCAGATTAGTCTTAAACTTTTGACCAGTAGGTGGCAGTGTTATTTTCGTATTTTTGATATACTATTATAGATTTTGTTAATATAATTTGAATTAGATTTTATTTTTATATTTTATGTTTTCACTTTAATTTTAGTTAAAGATTCTTTTGTCAATTTAATTATTTTTTTAAATATGTCTTTATAGTTTTATTAATTCTAATTCTTTTTTTTTTTAGTTAAACTAAATGAGAAATGTTGCCTTGGCAACTAGTTGAAATAAAAGTTTTTACTATATTTCAGTTTATTTTATGTAATAAGATAATAGCCCTGTTGTGTCATCATTTACTCACCCTCATGTCATTCCAAACCCCTTTTTTCCTTCTGTGTAAAACAGAAGAAGATATTTAGCTGAATGTCCGTGCTGCTCTTTTGAGTGGAAGTGAATGTGTAGCTGATGAGGTGAGTGTGTGAACTGTGTCTTTAAGAGCAGTGTAGGAACAGCTGGATGAGATCTGCTGCTGTGTCCGAGAGCTGAGCTCATGCTGAAAACAGGTGCTCACAGGCGCAAACACACACAAAATAGCTGTTCACCGTTACATGATCCGTGCACTGCATTATGGGAATTTCAGCATGCACAGATTTACCAAAGTGTGCAGGAAACATGCAGAACGAAGCATGTACACCTTTCATTTTCTAGTACCACAAATGAGAAGTTGAATTCCGTCAAGTTTAATTCTTAATCCTTCATATTTATCTATAACTCATCATTCTCTGTTATTATAAAGTGTGAATATTATTCCCAATGTCATTGCACATTAAAAACAATCAGAAAGCATTAATTTAGCTTGTTTCTAACCAAATCCAACACTACAAAAAATTACTCCGCAAAAAAAGGATTCTCTTACGCAGCATTTTTCTTGTTTTCCAGTGCAAATATCTAAACTTTCTTACATTGAGATACATCTACTTGAGAAGTAAAATGACACTGACTTTCACAAAAATTGAAAAAAATCAAATCAAAGGAAAGATGAGATTATTTTTCTGACCCCATTGGCAGATATTTGTTCTTGTTTTAAGCTTGAACTGACTTAATTTTGATATACTTTTCATAAAACAAGACTTAATATCTTATGCAATTTTGCTTCTTAAGTTAATGCATCTTGATTTAAGAATTTGTAGAAAACAAGTTTTTTTATTTATTTATTGATTTAGTTGTTTTCCCATAAAAACATCTCCAATTCCTTAAAACAAAAAAGTTTACTTGAGAAGCAACACTGCATAAGATATAAAAAATTTCAATAACATTTTTCAGTTTTTCGACTTCGAAATTTCATGTTTAATTCAGTGTCACTTGCCATTTCTTTGTAATTATTTGTGACATTTACTCTCAATTTCTCAGTGAAATTATTCCTACACCATTTTTTCAGTGTGAAGCCAAAAGATGCAAACATGATAGCAAGTGTGCAAACTCATATCCAATATTTCTGTGAATAAATAATCATTTCCCCTCAGTAACACTGAGTATGAAGGCACATCTGAACCCTGAACTGGTGTGTTTTCTGAGCGCTAGACTCTCTGTAAGCACACGTGGCGTTTAGAGACCGTGGATCTGATGGCTTTGAGCACGATCGACCCTCGACAGAAGATTCACTGCAGCTTCATCCTGAAAGGAGGCGCTCATTACTGTGTGTTTAAAGCTCAATCTCTGCATCTCCTGCTGAAGATTACTGAACATAAGAACTAGGATGAAACTGCAGTCAGAGCATCTTTAACCTGTGCTTCTTACAGACTTCTGCTTCTCCGGACAGTCAGTATGCAATGATAAAAGTCTGATAGACATCTTCAAAACGAGTGTATTTTGTCCCATTGCACTGGCAGATTTAAGTATAAACAAATTGAAATAATTTGCAAGTGCAATAAAACGAAATGCACTTATATTAAAAAAAGATGCAGCGAATGAAAACAAAGTATGAAAACAAGACGTAATATCTTATGCAGCGCTGCTTCTCAAATAAGTGTTTCGTTTCAATGATTTGTAGATAGTTTAACTAGAAAAAAGACAAAAGTACTCATTGAGAATGTGATTTTTTTTTGCATTGAAACTAAATATTTCTAGTAATATTTATAATAAATGGACAACGTTTACTGAATTACACATGCATGTAAACTAATGAGTATTTTTGTCATTTTCCAGTTAAAAATATCTAAAAATCATTGAAACGAGACGCATTTACTTAAAAAGCAGCTCTGCTTAAGATATTAAGAGTAAGACTTGTTTTCATGCTCTGTTTTCATATTTTGATAACTTCTAAAACTCAAATCTGAGACAAAATACACTCGTGTTAGAGATCACTTCTATAAACAAGTTAAAAATATCTATAAATCATTGAAACGAGAGTTTTTATTTGAGAAGCAGCTCTGCAGAAGATATTAAGACTTCTTTTCATGCTTTGTTGTCATTCATTAATTTTCATTCTGCATCTTTTTAATATAATGCATTTTGTTTTATTGCACTTGTTTTTAATTTGTTTACACTTAAATCCGCCAGTGCAATGGGACCAAATACACTCGTTTTGAAGATATCTGCTACAAACTAATGAGTATTTTTGTCATTTTCCAGTTAAAAATATCTAAAAATCATTGAAACGAGACTTGAGAACATTTACTTGAGAACATGTAAACTAATGAGTATTTTTGTCATTTTCCAGTTAAAAATATCTAAAAATCATTGAAACGAGACGCATTTACTTAAAAAGCAGCTCTGCTTAAGATATTAAGAGTAAGACTTGTTTTCATGCTCTGTTTTCATATTTTGATAACTTCTAATACAATCTCAAAAAAACTAATTCTGTATGATTTATAAGCTTCTGTACCCGTGGGGTCCCCACAGTGACACAAGTCCCCACCAGTGTAGAAAAACATGTACACACACACACACACACACACACACACTAACTGTATTAACAGGCAAACACTTTTTAACAGGCATATTTTGACCCATTTATAAATTGTCTTTATCATCACTGGAGCTTCAGAGAGGAATAACAAGGACAGACAACAGCCAACTTATTGACATTTTAACTTTTTTACTTACAGTATATATTTTTTTCTTTAATATCTTTTTTATTTGTTTTTTGTTTAAATATGTCTATATAATTTTTATTAAATTTCTTTTTTTTTATAAATTTTTATTTAACTGAAATATTTAAAATCTAATTTATTGTTTGTTTATTTAAATTTTTAATATTTTTATTGCTTATTTTATGCTGTCTTAAATATTTTTATTTGTATAATTTATTTATTGTTTACTTTATCTTTAGTATTTGTTTTTTTGTTTGTTTTATACTTAGTCTTATTTAGTATTTTTCTATTTTTATTTATCAATTATTTATGGTTTACTTTATCTTTAATATTTTATTTCTGTTCATTTTATTCTTAGTCCTATTTAATATGTTTTATTTTTATAATTGTATTCATTGTTTATTGTTTATTTTATCATTAATATTTTAGTGTAATTTATTTTATGCTTATGTTTGATATTTTTATTCTTATTTGTTTATTAGATTTTTTAATTTAATATTTTTTTAATTTGTTTATTTATTATTTATTTTATTATTTATCGCTTATTTAGTGGATTTTGTTTTTTAATATTGTTATTTTGAGCAGAAAGTGCTTTAAATCTGATGATATGAGTTTCTCTGACAGGGTTTGAGTGTTTGATCTGATTGTTTAAAGCGAGTTCCTGTCTCTCTGATCCTGTCGCCCGTGACCCCGTGACCTCTTTATTTCCAGGTCCGCTAAATACAGTATTGTGTTTAAAATCCGTTTCCTGCGCTCGTTTCTCCCGCCGCGTCTCTGCGGGGGTTTTCTGCAGGATATTCTTGTTCCAGCTTTTGTTTGGACTGAAGCGGTTTATTTTTAGGACTGTAACTCTTGTCACTCTATTGTTTACACTTAAATCCGCCAGTGCAATGGGACCAAATACACTCGTTTTGAAGATATCTGCTACAAACTAATGAGTATTTTTGTCATTTTCCAGTTAAAAATATCTAAAAATCATTGAAACGAGACTTGAGAACATTTACTTGAGAAGCAGCTCTGCACAAGATATTAAGAGTAAGACTTGTTTTCATGCTTTGTTTTCATATTTTGTTAACTTCTAAAACACAAATCTGAGACAAAATACACTCGTTAATACACTAAATACACTATTAAGACTTCTTTTCATACATTGTTTTGTTTTATTTTCATTCAAATTAGTTTATTTATTATTTATTTTATTATTTATCGCTTATTTAGTGGATTTTGTTTTTTAATATTGTTATTTTGAGCAGAAAGTGCTTTAAATCTGATGATATGAGTTTCTCTGACAGGGTTTGAGTGTTTGATCTGATTGTTTAAAGCGAGTTCCTGTCTCTAATACACTATTAAGACTTCTTTTCATACATTGTTTTGTTTTATTTTCATTCTGCATCTTTTTAATATAATGCATTTTGTTTTATTTTGCACTGGCAAAAAGTTTTTAACTCGATTATACGTAAAACAGACAAATCTGCCAGTGCATGGAGACCAACTACACTTCTGTGAAAGATCACTGCTATAAACTAATGACTATTTTTGTCATTTTCCAGTTAAATCTTTATCTATCATTGAAACGAGGCAAATTTACTTGAGAAGCAGCTCTGCATAAGATATTAAGAGTAAGACTTGTTTTCATTCACTGCATCTTTTTAATATAAGTTCATTTTGTTTTATTGCACTTGCAAATTATTTTACTTATAACATGAAAAATACACATAATGCACTTGTATTAACGGCTATATGTGTTATGCAGTATTGCTTCTGAAGTTCTGCAGATTACTTGAAAAGTGTGTGTTGCCCTCTAAAGCGGCGACTGGAGACACAGGTGAGGTTTATAACTGAGTGAAGCCCGACGTGGTTTTTCTCAGCCTGAGGAAAGGCTGTTTTGGGCCACAGAGACGTACAAACAGCCAGCCATGACTACAACACAGGAAACAGCACGTAATTACGCCTGTGTGTGTGTGTGTGTGTGTGTGTGTGTGTGTGTGTGTGTGTGTGTGTG